GGAGGGGAGGGGGTGTGGGGGGGGGGGGCTGGGGGCCTGTTCCCCCCCCCCCCCCCCCCGCCCCTCGCTTAGCCTTAGAGGGTGCTAGTGCTGATGCTGACTATGGGTCTTGGTTTCTCCTTGGCCCCCCATGGAGCTCTTTTTGTATTCTGCATCCAGGTACATTCTGGGCTTGGCTAGAGGCCAGACCTTGGTGGTGGGGCCCATGATAGGAAGCACACCGAGAGGCTCTGCAGACCGTAGGCCACCCTGAGCGCCAGGCTCCAGCCTGCTGTCTGCCTAGCCCGGGGTGCATCCCCTGGGCGCCCCAGCACAGCTCACGTGCCACCCTGGCAGCCGGAGAGGGAGCCACAGTCACGCCTCCCAGCATCCTGCACCCCAGGCCCCAGCCCAGTCCCAGGGCCAGGGTGCATGTCACCTCTTAGGAGATAATGCCCCGGGGTGTGAAAGTTAGGAGGAAAGGGATTGCTGCTGCCTTTCTTTCCTCTGTTGCTCGCCAGAACGAGAGCAATGATGACAGTCGTCACCGCTTATTGGGAAAGATGGTGTTTACACACTCTCTCATTTACTTCTCATGTGGGCCCGATGAGGTAGGTCCTACTTCTTTGTTCTACAGACGGGAAAGTCAGACTCGGAGAAGTGATGTGACTGGGTCACGCTGCAGTTGTGGGGATCAACCTGGCTGGCTAGGTACAGGATTCAAAACCGAGTCCGAGAATCCCCTCTCTGGGCATGGACAAGGACTACGTGATGAGCCCCGAGTGAAAATTCAGGCAGAGGGGACAGCAGCCACTGAACACAGACAGTGGCCCGTAATTATTGCTCCATAAATAGGAGTCTCCTCCCTAGAAGGACACACAAAGCCCCGGAAGACAGCCTTGGGCCCTAAATGGTTCTGGGCACTCCATGCCAGCACGATGCCTTCCCGAGGAGACGAGAAGCTTCTGTGGGCAGGACGCGCTCACACCTATGCGGCTCCAAGTGGGAATCAGCAGGCCTGAGTTCTAGCCGCCTCTGCCACCCTCGCTCTGTGAACATTGGCAAGTCACTGCTTCTTTGGGGCCTCAGTTTCCTTCTTTGAAGCTCCTCCCAGTTCTAGCATTCCATGATTTTTT